AAAATCCCCTGTGGAATTGTACTTCCTATGTTAATATTCTGAGGGTAAGAATATTCCTTTGATAGTAATTTATCAAAATTGTAAGTATTTTTATAAGTATTTAATTAAATATCGGGTATTTTAATTTAATTATAGCACATATTTAGTGGCATGGTAGTGTAATAGTAAGGTACAGTTGCAATAATACGACACCTTAATACTGTAGTAAGGTAGTAAAATTTATTCTATTGTAAAGAAAACATTTTTTTCTTTTAATTATAAACACGATTTTGTACGATTGAAATAACTAAATGCAGAGTTTTGTACTCACCCGCACTCTGACTTCCATCTACGACAGGTACCACGGCGAACATCCTTATAAATGAAGGAACAACCTTTCTTAGGTGAAGTTCCGTCACGAAACAATTGTAAGTTATTACATTATTGTCGTACGTGAATTACTGCTGTACAGCGGGACAATTGTCGAAAACCTCATTAGAAATCTCATTCGGTAAAGCAACGCAGTGACATCCCTATGAATTTAGTGAAAAGAATAAAAATTTAGTACTGATTTGAGAAAACCGCTTTCCATAGAAAGTAGTACCGTACATAAATTACAACACGTTCAAAGATATGTATTATTTCTGTTTAAAACAAAAGTGTTCTTTTTTCTTCGAATCATTAGAATTTTCTTAGACTAGAAAATATTTTCCGTGGAACTATTTAATTATAGTTTCTTCCTCTTTTGCTGTTTCATTTTACAAGTTGAAAAACTATCGGTTTTTCAATTATTCGAACGTATCCGCAGAACTATAATGCCAATCGTCGGTAAATAACTAGAATTTGCCGTTAAGTCACTAAATTTTGCAACTTTCAAATGCTCGCATAGAAATGTTGCGAATATTCAAAAATCATTGTAGTCGAATAAATATTTCGTTGTATGTATATGGAAATTGCGTTTAATATCGAAATAAAATATTTTACAATGAACAATAAATAAATTAATTCAACGCTTCTTGGTAGAGGGCTATGCATTAAGGTTTAAACTGTTCTAATCATGATTGCAAAACATTAAAACATAATTCAACATTGCAGTAAATGTTCTTTGAAAAGTTACTAAAACTAAGCAATATGTACATGTGTTGCGAAAATAACAGTCGTTCCTCTTTATAAAAGAAAAAGCGGAAGCTTGGTTGTTATATTTTTGCCTTCTATACTGCGCAGTTTCAAAGGAACAATTAAATAGAGCAGCTTACGTGCGAAAGGTATGAGCCTTTGTGCTTTCGTTCAATCAGATCACCGTACAACGGAAAGTTTCGTCAGGATTGGTCGAGAGGGAAGAACTACGAGTCAGCGTTAATAATGACCTTAAGTCCCGTTCACAACGAGCATTTCGCAACGCATGACTGAGCCACTCTCGAAGCGTTTCTAGACGCATGTTCAACGACGACCGCACATAATAAGGAACAGTTACGAATAGTTACGAGGCGTCCTATCACACGTAGTGTATCTCGGAAGCGAGCGAATCAGAAAAATCCGTGCGGAGAGTAGGACACACGGTTCGCCACATAATTCCCGGAATTGCGCAGCGGATAGAATGCTAGCGTACGGTTTCAAGGAATTTCCAGGCGAAAGATGCGAAGCAGCTAGCAGTGGTTAGCAGCCGTGTTACCCTGTTCGCTCTTGTCTATGGTGATATACATACATGAGTGCGCGTACACAAGCAGCCAGTACGGTGCATTCGGTGCAATAAAATCATTGCTTGACTAGCCATCCTGACCGCGGCGGAGTTGTGCAGTGTCGCGCGAAGGTCGTGAACTTCTGCAAGATTGTTCGAGAAACTTGCTAGTCCGGAAGCACGTTACCGAGAGGAAAGTTTAAAAAGGAAAGGTGGACGATCCTCCGCGAAAAGCCTCGGTTAAAATGGCGGTGATCGGTACTCCGATTGGCGCTAAGCGATAGAAGAGGATCGCGCTCTATTCACACTCGATAAGTTTTGTTTTGATCCAGTTCGATAGACAGCCTCCTTGGGAACCGGTCGATTCTCGTCCCATCAAATCATTCGGTTTCGTTACGTTCCGTTCTACCTTCTAAGCATTGTGCGAAATTTTATAAACGGCGTCTCATTGACCACACAAGATATATAATCCAGTCGAGGACGATCAGGGTGGTAAGAACCACCGACGGAACGGTTTTCGACGGCCGTGATGCCGCATCGTTCCGACCTCGAATTTATCGAAAGGCCGTACGACAAGGACGACTCTATCGAATCCTTGTCGGCTTATCTATAGGTAAGTTTCGTGCCACGAGTGCATCTCTGCTTTCACCTTTCGATGTATTCTGCGCTCGGTTTTCCCCGCTGCTTGCCCGATTTGTCGCTCTCAGCCTATAACCGCGATCTAGAGATCTTTTTGCGCATATAGTCCCTTTGTTGTTATTTTGCACTCGTCGAAATGGGCCTAAGTTAGGTTAGGCCCTAGAAACCAATGACTCTGCATCTTAACGAAAATCCAAGTTGTTTTCCTTCCTATTGTATTTTTAACGGTTCCATCTTTTGAAGCATTATAATATTCGACGTAACTTTTTAACATTATTCTAGAATACTTCCTTGTTTATCTTTCTCTTTTTTCACCTTCGTTAGAACCAATATATTTGACTTATATAGATTCTTTCGAATAACTATTTGCGTCGTAGACGGTACGTTTTGTTGGGATTTGTCATGTTTTCAAGGCTTGTCGAAAGATTCGTAACGTCATTGTTGCTCCTTGTACGAATATTGTGTCACGAGTAACTGTGCTCTGCATTTTGATTTTTTAATCGATAATTTTTACGCCATGTCATAATCGTTTTTATTAATAAATTTTTCTTGGGCAGTAATTGAAAAAATGATCGATTCATAGTTATTTATGTACTAATAACAACTATTTTTAGTATCAGCATTGCCTTCAAAAAACCATATGGAAAATTTTTTTAAACTAATATAAAAATAATAAAGTGCTCTTTTATTTCGTATTATTTTGTTGTTTCATTAATTTTTATTCTATTTAGAAACCCAATAAATTTTGACTTATATGTTACATTAATTTCGTAATGCAGAATGATTTTTGTGCAATAAAGAGAAAATTTACGTAATGTTGCATCAACCTTCTAGATAACCGCTTAATTTGTTATTTTACGAATTAAACGTAAAAATATGACCCGTTTTATTATATGTTGTTTCTGTTGTATTCATTGATTAACAGTTTTATTGTTCCTATTATACATCATTGTAGAAATATTATATAAGTTTTATTTTCTTATTATAAATGTGATGAAGATTCTTAACAATGTAAAAATATTTTTGTTGAATAAAGGTTTTTAACAGTGATTTTATATTAAAAGTATGATGATGATTAAAAGAGCACTTTCTCTATTACGCTAATAAAAATACATTACTGAATGTTTTACCACTTATAAATGCATATCATAAAATAATGTTGCAGATTTTAAATTCATAAAGAAACCCTTTATCTGTCAAAATGAAAATTGATCGAAATAGATTGAGGAAATATACATCAGAAGCGGTGAGTGGTACTTTAATGGTATTTTTGAAAGTGGATATTATTGGTGAGAAATGTAAAAAAACATAATAGTATGGATGAATAAATTTTCAGCCTGCAAAATGTCAGGCGCTTATAAACAAGTTGCGCTCATGCTCCCATGCAGAATTGCTGGAGGAGCTGAAGCAGATAGATGCATGGACTTTTGGTAAATGTGAACTATTTCATTGGATTGATGTGTTGGATCTTAGTGATAGTATTTTGGAAGAAGCTGCAGCTAAAAGTCCAGATAATCCATGGGAATTAGCCTGTGATCTCCCTCAAAATAGAGAGGTAGAATAACCATATAATTTTTATATTTTTTTTTAAAGACTATTACCTTAAATTCTTGTCAGTGTAAATTAGAAAAATTGAATAAAATTTAACTTGTTTTTAATAGGCAAAGGAACTTCTCCTTTGGGTTCTTCACCTTACAACATTATTGATTGAACATTCATACTCTAGACATTTGTACAACAGTATGGAGCATTTGGTGACATTGTTGTCAAGTTGTGACATGAATGTTGTTCTTGGTGTATTAAGTATTCTCTACATGTTTAGCAAGCGCAGCAATTTTATTGCACGTCTGAACAGTGACAAGAGGCAAGCTTTATTAAGTAGGCTTACTCTTTTAGCAGAGGTAAGACATATATGTTAATTAATCAGTGTTATATTAGTACATATAACTGTTAAAACAATTTCAAGTGCAATTTTTACATTGTAGAGTTGGGGTGGTAAGGAGAATGGATTTGGTTTAGCAGAATGTTGTAAAGAATATCCAGATAAGGTAACCAAAATTCTATAAGTGATTGTCATCTTTAAAAAAATACATTTTACATAGCGCGCTATAATTTTTTCTTTTTTTTTCTTTTTTTTTTTTTTCAATTTTTCCAGCCACTTCCTGCAAGTGCCACAACGTTGCATTTTGAATTTTACGCAGAAAATCCCACAACAGATGCGACCACTGCAGCAAATACTGGCACAAAGAAATCTGGACAAACAAATTTTGTAACATATATACACATCGAAAATGTGGATAAATTGGGTAAAACTCCAGCACAAATTATGAATGATTTGTTGAAAGTCTATAATGTACCCCAAGACCGACAGGTAATTAATGTTCACCAACATTTGAAATGCAAAGATTATCTAACCAAAAAATGAATAAATAAATGTTTCACATAAAATCATTTTTATTTTATTTGTTTAGATTGCGTTATTCACACATATAAGACTGGCACACAGTTTCTCCGATTATCGAAGACGATTGCAATGTGTGCACGCTCGGCTGCAAGCATTATCGATACTTGTATATAATAGCGAACTTGAAGAAAATGCACATAGTTTGCTGCATCCTGGGCTTTTAGAGGAATTAGTCGAATTACTAGAACTTCCACACGCACATCTTGTTGAAATACGCGCAGCTGCACTGCGTACTCTCACTAGTATCATTCACTTGGATCGTAATCCACATTTTCCGAAGTAAGTGAAAATTTACTAACCACATAATCTTCATGTTTTAGTTTTGTAAAACTATATTATCGATTACTTGTCCGACTACGTTGTTTTAATTAATTTTTAGAAAACCTAACTCAAGGTTAAACATGATCATTGACGTAACCGGAGCAAACTCATATCACGGATTTTTTCCTGTTCTAATTCGTACTTGCATCTCAACGTTGATTTCCCCTCAACCTGAAGGACAACCTTTTCCTCTGTCGCTTGCTACAGCCTTGTTCAGCTTTCTTTATCATCTTTCAAGTTACGAAGCAGGTAGCGAAGCTCTCGTCAGTTGTGGAATGATGGAGAGCCTGTTGAAAATTATAAATTGGCCTGGTAGCGAGTTCGAACATTTAACGGTAACATTCTTCTCCCTTTTGCTCAGAATTTCATTGTATATTTAATTCCATAAGACTTCTATATTCCACTTACTTTACAGTTCGTAACGAGGGCAGTTCGCGTGATAGATTTAATAACAAACATAGATATGCAAGGATTCCAAGCTCACGGTGGTCTAGCGAGCTTCATCAATCGCCTCGACATGGAAGTAAACGTTTGCAGAAAGGAACAACCCTTCGAGATAGAGCCAATGCATTATCAAGACAACTCACAGGCAACTCGCGAGAGATCCATGGATCGAGACGAGAATTCTGCGTCGTCGCGTGCCTTTGACGAACGCGAGGAATCGTCCAACCCCATGGAATTCTCAGAAGACGAGAACATGAGCTCTAAAGCGGATGAGAAACCAGAGCAAATGCCAGACTATTCAGCCGTAAAGACTGGCAAAACCTGTCTGCCGCAGCGAGTCACGCTCTTGAAAGCGTTGTTAAATTTTATCAAGAAAATCATTCAAGAGCCGACATTCTCTGATAGCATTAGACACGTTATGGAGGGTACTCTACCTTCCTCTCTGAGGCACATTATAAGCAATTCAGAATATTACGGCCCCTCTCTATTTCTTATTGCAACTGATGTCGTAACGGTGTACGTTTTCCAAGAACCATCCTTATTGTCATCTCTGCAGGACAATGGATTAACTGATCTAGTACTGCACGCTCTGCTCATCAAGGAGATTCCTGCTAGCAGAGAGGTTCTAGGATCCTTGCCCAACGTGTTCAGCGCTCTGTGCTTGAATCAACGTGGACTGGAGTCGTTCGTGAAGCGACGTCCCTTTGAACGCCTGTTCAAAGTACTACTGTCACCGATTTATCTCCCTGCAATGAATCGACGTCGCAGTACAGATCCACTGGGCGACACAGCCTCAAATCTAGGCAACGCAATGGACGAGCTAATGAGACATCAACCAAGCTTAAAAGTAGACGCAATCGCTGCTGTCATCAAATTATTGGAGGAGCTCTGCGTACTGGGTTGCGATCCCCGTTACATATGCCTACAGGCTGAGGACAAATTCGACAATTCTCAATCCAACACGAGCTCCGGTAATCGTCAATCCTCCGGACAGTCTGTTGGTGTTGGAGTCGGAGATTCTGGTGGAGGAGGAGGTGGTGGAAGTGGGAGCAGCAGTGATGAGGAAGAGGAGGACGAAGAGGAGGCTAGTACTAGCTCTCATCCTCAGCGCGAGGAGCAGTGCTCGTCGTCCTCTGCTCAGCCTGTTCCAGCACCTCAGCCAAGAGAGAAAACTCCAATTGCATTGATGGAATACATACAGAATGTCACGAAATTCGTTGACGCCATTCTCAGCAACAATTCAACGGATGACCATTGCAGAGAATTTGTTGCTCAGAAGGGTCTGGTGCCCCTGTTATCAATCCTAGGTTTGCCCAACCTTCCAGTAGACCATTCAGTTTCCCAAACAGCTCAAGCTGTGGCCACTGTTTGCAAGAGCATCTTAAACCTGGCGCATGAACCGCAGGTACTGAAGACTGGCTTGTCTCAGTTGAACGAAGTTCTGAATTTGTTGAAACCGCTGTACAGCTACATGGAGGCACCTGGAGGTTCTGTTTTGTTGCACGAGCTCGTTTCCGCACCCAATTTGGAGACAGCCTTTACCAGCGATACAGCAACGCCTCTGCTCCATGCTATGAATGCTGCTTATGGTTACATAATAATGTTTGCCCAAGTCTGTCGCACTAGCCAAAGCGAGATCAGAAATTTGGCTATGAATCATTGGGGATCAGAGTTAGGTTTGACTGTCTTGAAAGGACTTTCAGAGCTATATACAGCATTAATGTGGGAGAGCACAGCCTTGCTGGCTCTTACGACAGACGATTTTATCCCAACTGGTTGTGACTTTGGAAAGGAGGATATGGATAAGCTGATACGTCCAGAGTCAAAGAATGAGGGCGAAAGTTCTGGTTGGTCTGGCGCTGCATCCTCAGATATGGGAAGCAATGGAATGACCACAGCCATGGAGGCTTTGAGTACTGATCCACCACCTGTACCCATGGAGGTGGACGAGAAACCAGCTGTTAGTACCGGAAGAGTATCTCCAAATTCTCATCGAGTTACTTATCCTAAACAATTGCTGGTCCTGACATCTAAAATGGGTAGAGCATTGGCAGAACTGTTTGCCATACTCGTGAAGGTATTTAAAAATTGATTAGGTTAAAATTGAATAATTTTTAATGATTTATTTTTAATCATTTATTTTTAATAATTGTTATAATTTAGCTCTGCATGGGCTCTCCTATCAGACAACGCAGAGGGCAGCAAATGCCACCGATACCAGCACTTCCTTCACAAGCATCTAGAAGCGTGGCTACTGCTTTAAATTGCGTATTGATTCGCGGATTATCGTGGGACAAATTGCCTCCATCGACCGTGCCTAAGCTTCAAGTGACCTTTTTGATGTGCACGCTGAGCTTCGTGTCTCCTGCATTGTTCGACGAGAAGGGATATCCGTTTCATTTGATGCTTCAAAAGTTTGTTAAGTTGGGCGGGCAAAATGCATTTTTCGCGTAAGTTTTTATCAAAATTCTTGATGTAATTTCATTTAAAATAGTTTTATTATATATAATACATTTTTATACATATTTTTAGTGCTTTTCATTGGGTGTTATCCGGAGGAGGACAATTTCCATTATCGATGGGATTAGAACACCACAATCTTCCTGATTGTACAGGAGAATTCTTGGATGGTTGGCTGGTGATCCTGGAAAAAATGGTGAATCCAAAAACCCTCCTAGATTCACCTTACGCCGTGTCCTCGAAATGCAGTGGAATGTACAAGGTGTACGAAACATTCGACCCTATAAAATATCTCACGGAAATTCATAAGGTTCGTACTCAAGCAACACGTGTAAGATGTTTCACGTTTAACGCATTGATTTATGTATTTATATATATCCAACTAATTACAGGAAGCTTTCGAGGCGGTGATGTTGATGTGGGGGAAGAAACCTTTGAAGAACTATGGAGTTCATATGACAGAACTAATTTTATCAATCTTACGACATATTCTACGTAGTGAGCAAATCATTAAGGTATATTTTAAATTTCTGTACAAAATATAAATCGTTTTTCAAATTCAAACAAACATTACCTTTAGATTCCCCAACAGTAATTTACCAAAAATTGTATGAGCTGTAAATTCATAAGAAAAAAAAGACTCAGAATTTTTTAACACTCAAGTAATCACTTTGCGAATGATCAGAAATTCGACGTTTCATATTACGCGACCTAATAAATATAATAAATTATTTAAAAAATATTTAATAGGAGGACGCTGAGAAGGAAGAGAAGAATGAGGGTGGTATCGGTGGTAGCAGCAGTAGTACCAGTGGCATTGGAAGAGGCGGAGCGATAGCCGATCGTAGAGAAGAACCGGAAGCAGACGTGAATCCGGAGCATCTCAGACAGTTGATGGACATGGGTTTCAGTAGAGCTCATTGCATAGAAGCTTTGCTTCACACGTTATCGGTTGAACAGGCTACGGATTATTTATTGAGTAATCCTGCTACACTGCGTAGATCAGACGTTCCAGCGGGTGATGCTAGCGGTCAGGACTTGATAATGGACTTGGAATTAGTAGACGACGATCAAATAATGCATGCGATAGCGATGTCTCTTGGAGAAACAGAAACGCGAAAGGTGTTCACCTGGGAAGAGCCTGCTCGTGAAACCACTATCACAGAGAGCATAGACGAGTTCACACATAACGCTCTCAGCCAGTGCTTGAATTTGCTCGACTTGATGCCTGACACTGTGTACAGAATTTGCGACCTACTAGTCGCCATTGCTAAAAGAAACGGAGATGGATGGCGTGACAACATGCTGCGGCAGCTTATGAAGGAAATTGGTAACTTGGTAGATTATTTAATCGAGGTAGCAGAGAGCCAGGATCTGAATGCTGGTGCAAAATTGGTTGAGTGTAAGGAAGCTAATAAAGTCACTGGGCGTATCTATCTGTACACCATGTTCTTCGAGGGAACGTTTCAAGAAATGCGAGTACCTTGCGCCCAGATTGTCGAAGAGTTCGCCATCTTGCATAAACTCGTGCGTTTATTAGTGGTGAGCGAGGGTCCACTAACAGCCAATAAAAATAAGATCGCGAAAGAGGGTAACGGCAAGGATACGCCATCTGCAAAAACTCCAAAATGGTTGGCCCCGTTGTTGTTACTGGTAGAACGTTTGGAGAAGGTGGCGATACTGACGAAGAGGAAAGAATTAATGTACAAGGTCACGACGAGGATGTGGAAGTGGTTTGACTTGAGCACAGGAAAATGGAACTTGTATTCGCCGGTGAACAACCGGACAATTAACGATGCGTACTGGACCGGCGAATCTAGTATCAGAGTGACGTGCAATAGACGAAGATACGTGATCAACTTCTCCTGCATGACACAGGTGAACGAAGAAAGCGGCAACAGAAGACCCATCACGATGGGCTTTAAGCTGCATATTGGAACCGGGGATGGTGGTTCTGGTTCCGACACGAATATGGACACCGACGAGAACCGAGTAGAGGATAAACGAAACACTGTTATACAAGGACTAGATTCAAGTATGGCACCAGGAATCATACGCGCCTGCGTGAAATTGATGGCTATTCCGGTGGATAGAGATGCTCTGCAGGCTTCTATGAAAGTCTGCCTTAGGCTTACCAGAGATTATGAGAATGCTGAGATATTCGTTCGCGAGGGTGGCGTGAAGCTTCTTTTAGAGATGGCTCAAGCGAGCAGTTTCATTGGATGCATAAACCTGAGCACACTTCTGATACGGCATACTTTAGAGGAGCCGTGTACTCTTCGATTAGCTATGGAGAAGGTGATTCGAAGCCGTTCTCAAGGCAACATACCTCCAGCCTGCAAGGAAATTCTATTTATGACCCGTCAAATCAACAGCGCTGTTTGTCGTAACCCTGAAGTTTATAGGGAAGTTTGTGAGAATATTCTGAGAGTCGATATCAGTCTATTGAGTAAAGAGGACAGTGATAATAGGTTGATCGTGAAGGCCGTACCTTCGAATCATTCTTTAGTCCTACCAATGGTGGAGGAAGCCTCTATATCTGTGGTGAAAGATCTTTTGAACGCATTGATAAAACCTATGCCAATTATCCCCGACGAGAAATCCTCTACACCAACCAGAAGCATGTTCTCAGAAATAATGCAACAACAACAAGTGACACTCTCGACGACGACGATCAAGTATCTCAAATTATACCCATGAAAATCTATCCAGAGACTAGTAACAACACGAAGGTAGAACCAGAAGAGGCAAAGAAACCTTTGTTAGCGAAATCTGCTATTCTGAAAATACTTGCTGAAGCCGTTCGCTCATACAGCGCAGTGGCAAGTTTGATCACAGAACATGTGTATCGTGCAGGGCAAAGTGAAATGGTAGCAGAGGACACAACAGCTCTTGCTTTCCTTCTAGACAAGCTTCTGCCAATGCTACCAGAGAATTCAAGTGACAGACAGTGCAGCAGTATGGCCAGAATGTTGATAGCTGCTATTGCCTCCTGCAACCATTCTCCGGATGTTCAAACTACTCTGGTGACTGAAGTGAAAGCAGCTTTGACCAGAACTCTTGCTCTTCCTGAAAGCTCAGAGAAACATGCACAACTTCAATTACTAGTTGGTTTGATCTCCACAATGATAGACAGCTGTCCACCAACCTCTCATAATCAGCTGAGGACCTCTCTGAAGATGCATCAATACAACAATGTCAACTACATAGTGAGAATTATGCTGAGGAAAGGGATAATCACAGATTTGGCTAAGATTCCTCACAGTTTGGACCTGTCCAGTCCAAACATGGCTGGAACCATTAACGCGGCTTTGAAGCCGTTGGAAACACTTTCACGGATTATAAATCAACCGATGCCTGGTGCTGTCAATAATAAATTTTCCAAGCCGAAAAGTAGGACGGTTCAAGAGGAGCCTATTGGAGAACAAACAGGAACCACGACGTCAGAAGCGACACACGCAGTCGGCGAGGAGACAAACGAGGACGCAGAGAACACAGAACACGACATATCTGTAACCGCAGAGAGTCTGGAGCCAACTTCAGAAAGTCAAGTGCACGAAGAAGGGGACGAAGCTGCTCTAGAAGACATCATGGATCAGCTTCTCGAAAGGTAATCATAAATAATGTATATGTTTGTGGAATTGATAAAGATACATTTTTGATATTTATAGGATAAAAATTTATAACTTGATGCAATGTATCAATGTAAAAAATTTAATGAATATATATATGACATACATGTATATGTATTTTAGGTGAATGTGAGCTACTGTACTTATAATCAAGTAGTGTACTATTTTCCAGGGACGGGCCAGGCGTGACGGAAGATCAGTCTTCTCGACCGCATAGGCCAATGGATATTGATGAAGAGAGTCTTGCGATACGTGACGGAGAAGCTGACTTCGACCCAACGCGAGACGCCACGATAAGAGTAACGTCGTTTTCTTACAATATTTCTCTCTCTCTCTCTCTCTCTCTCTCTCTCTCTCTCTCTCTCTGCACACCTATATTTTTATCTCTTGAAGGCACAATATTAATTATATATTCTATTTTCAGGATGATTTGATGAGTTCTGATTCAGACTCTGACAGTAATCCATCCGACGATAACGAGGATGAAGTGCAAGATGATGAGGATGAAGAGGAGGAGGAAGAAGATGATGGTAATTTAATTATATATTTTATAAGCTAGATAAATGGTTGTACATTCAAATTCAACATATACTAAAATGTTGTCTATCAGGAGAAGAAAACGAAGAAGAAGAAGAAGAAGAGGAAGAAGGATCCTCAAATTATGAGGAGGATGGAATAGAATTTTACGAAGACGTAGGTGAAACTGGCGTATTCCGAATGATTCCATCAACTGATCGCGACGGTAGCAATGTCGTGATGATTCGACATAATATCGATAATCAGGACAACGTGAACTCCTCTACTACGGTCACGCCGCGATCTAGTCTTCCATGGAGCACAACGTTTCCTCTACCTCTGGGTCTGTTCGAAGATCCTCCCTCAATTTCTGAAAGTAGTGGTGAGCATAAGATTGTGATTCTGGTGCAGTGTGACTCAATAACAGCATCAAACAAATTGTTATGCAACAAAACGAAATTATATGATGAAAAGAAATGGATAAAAATGTTTAAGAAAAAACAACTTAATTTTCTTCCACAGGTATTAATACCCATTCGTTGGTTATATCACAAAGCGGTTTGGACGCTACTAATTCAAGGGCTCAGAGAGCTGTTCGACCACGAAGATATCAATACCTTCATTTACCAAATCCACGAAATCCGAATCCACCAATGATATTGCAAAGGTGAATTAATTCGTGCTAAATTGATTGAATTTTACGAGCAAAATGAGATTAAAACACTGAACATAAAGTGGAAATATTCAAATACAAAGAGGATAAAAATATGTATCCCTATGAAAGTTTTTCTTCTTATCTATTGGAATATTTGCTTTTTTTGCTTGGTTATGCGAAATACAGTTGAGTGTTTTAATTTTATGACAACGTTCGTGTAAAAGGGTAGAATAATACTGTTTTTGTAATTACAGACTTTTAGGTCCGGCTACACAAGCAATTCCATTGTCTGCTAGTCAGGTTTTGGCTTCGAGTTTCCGTGATACACGAGTTGTTGTAATGGACAACGGCGTTGGAATATTAACAAACCCGGAAGAAGAACAAATAGACTTTGTGGTTTGTGTAAATCATGGTCGTTCAATGTTGCAACCTATTTTACACGTGTTTCATTGTCCATTTATGGAATCCTTTCTTTCAGGATCAGTCTGGATATTTGTTCGGATCAAGTCTTGCAAATACAATGAATAATACTCCAACTGCGTTACATTGGTGGATTGAAGAGAGTAAATTATTGGATGGAGATTCTCAGACAGATTGCTGTGTTGGTAAGTGTTAATGTTAAGAACTGTATCTGTATTTAATAAAATCGAGTTTAATAAGTTTCTCTCCATGTTTAAAAGGTGTTGTACATAAATTAATTCCCGGACTGGAGAAACACAGGAACGCTGAATTGGCGGAACGTCGAGAGAGACGTAAAAAGCAGCACGCTTCTGAGAAGAAAGGGGAAAAGGATAACAAAGACGGAAAGGATTATATAACATGTAGTACTTGAATACGCTTAATTTAATAATAATTATTTTTAGCTGGTTCATCTATGGGAGAACAAAGATCGACAGCCTCAACATCACGAAGAGAATTTCGATTCGTTATCACAAATCGACCGGATACAGGGATTGATGGAGATATGATCCGTACGATTTTAGTCATTTAAAATTCTTGAAATTATAATAAATCAAAATTTTCTATCAAGACTAACCTAATTTAACTTTTGTTTAGATCTACCTGCGATCGCAGATGAAGAGCGACCTCCACCTCCACCACCGGAAGAACAACCATCTGAACCCAGAGATCCTCGAGACCCAATGGAAGAAGTAATGAGAGAAATTGATTCAGCTGATTGGTTCAGAACAATGTTCATGGATAACAGTCGATCAAACGTTGAACGGAAGTAAGTACCTTGTAATTATTATTATAATTCAATGAAATTAATAACAAATATATTAACGTATGTGTTTATTGTGTAGCGCGAATATCTTGAATCAAGGATCTACAATTTCCGCATCAGAAAGTGTTAACCCAGAAACTCCAGAACAACAACAACAGCCGCAGCAAGAAGAGCAGCAGCAGCCACAACAACAACCAGCACCACCGCCACAACAACAACCACAGCAACAGCAACCAGAACAACTAGAACAACCGCAACAATCACAAGAACAACCACAGCAACAAAATCAGCAGTCTCAGGAACAACAATTACCGGATGGAGTGGATCCGTCCTTCTTAGCTGCATTGCCGGAAGATATGCGAGACGAAGTTATAGCTGAACACATTAGGTATTTATCATACTATGTTGACACAGTAACAACGAAATTGAAACAATTATTGATATTAAAAATTCTAAGTGAGTTATATAAATTTTTGAAATTATGTCAATTTTTTCTTAGACTTCAACGAATTCGACAACGAGCACAGACAACCGTGGTTGAGGAATTAACAGGTCCGGTTGAGGTTAATCCTGAATTTTTAGCTGCTTTACCTCCAGCTATACAAGAAGAGGTTCTCGCGCAGCAACGTTTAGAACAACAACGACATGCAGCTGCAAGCGCCAATCCGGAAGACCCAGTCGACGCTGCTGCGTTCTTCCAGAATTTGCAACCTTCCCTCCGACAAGCGGTCAGTGAGATAACCTTTAATCGTGACTTTTGCTTCAGTTTTTATCAATATATTGCATTACAATTACTATCTCTCTCTTTTTCTTTCGTTTGCAGATTTTAACTGATATGGAAGAGTCCCAGATATCCGTTCTTCCACCTGATCTAGCCCAAGAGGCTCAGAACCTTAGACGAGAATGGGAAGCTCGAAATCGACACATAATGCAAGATCGGTTTCTTAATCATGTTAGCCAAGGAAATACTACTTTGTCCAGTATATTGAGGAACTCTGGTAGAGGTAAACGAGATATTAATAATTCTCTTCTTATACAAACTTGATACATTTGTCGAAGAAAATTGACCGATCATAAAAAAATAACAGGTAGAGGTGGTGGTACGCGTTATGCGATTCACACAGTAGCACAAGGAGGTTGGCAACCATGGAGTACACGTGGTGATCCTAGTATAGCACATCACGGGGCAGGTTTAAGACTCAGAGGCAGGCAGTTGTTGGATCATGAATCGATGGCTTGCGTATTGGTATTACTGTTTGTTGATGAACCAAAAATTAATACGTTAAGGCTTCATAGAGTTATCAGGAATCTTTGCTATCACGGTAGCACAAGGGAATGGGTAGTTAGAGCCTTACTGAGTATCATGGAAAGAAGTAACGATGAGAACAAAGATATAGCCATGGATTTTTGCGGAAAATTCAGAAGGAAAAGCTTGGTGCCCATGATGCATCACGATTACTGGTACGTAATTTTACAAATAGTTACATTCACAAGTTAATTCAAATTAAGATGATTAAAAAAAAAGAGATTTAAAAAAATTTGATTTTATTTCTTCAGTGCCCCAAAAATTTTTGACCAAAGAAGCAATGCGCAATCGTGGTTAAACATCAGTATTGATGCTGCACTTGGATGTAGAGCAAACGTTTTTCACATTGTTAGACACGGTGGCAAGAAATCAGAAAGGCAAGGTAGTAGTATCGCTATTCACCCACAAGCAGCACCTACAGTATGCAGGTGAATTAATTAAATTTAATAATAATCATATATTAACATACATATATTGTTTTCAAAATTCATAGTTTCCTTAGTATCCTTTTTTTGTTAACCTTTCATTATTTATATTCTAGACATACACTGGAGTTACTAATATCGCTGGCTAAAGGTTTCCCTGGATACTTTGTACCAATTAAGTCTAAAGAATTAGAGGACAAAGAGATTAGCAAAGAGATTAGCAAAGACAAAGACTCGTGTAACAAAGAGGATACCGGTTCGAAGGGTAAATCCGCATCGAAACCGGGAAAGAGCGATCAACCAGACTTGTGGGACATGTTGTTAAAACTGGACTCGTGTGCCTCGAAGAAAGGAAAATCAGTTGCCAGATCCCACTCGAATTCGAACCTAGGAAACGACTCTGAGCATAATACGACTACCTTTGAGTCGTCCGCGTTTGGTCAATTGATTTCGATGCTGAACTGGTCCGTCATCAAACGCAGCAGCCAGTTAACAGACAAACTATTGAGATTGTTGTCCCTGATCTCGATCGGGCTGACAGAAGTGAATCCGTATCGTAGACAAGAAGGAAATAAGAACAAGAGGACAGATGTGAACAAAGAACAAAGTGTCGCTGCGCCAGAGGAGCATCTTAAATTGGCTGTACAAGTATTAACCAGCAAGAGTTGTTCCGAGGAGGGGCTTGAGGATGCAACAGCTTTGCTGCTTAACTTATCTCATTGTCCTGATCCCACGAGACAATTGGTAATATCTCCATTACATCTTATTTATTTCTACAATATTAGTGTATATTTTGAAAGGTGAATAATTTATTTTAGTTATTGTTACAGATACTAAAATTACTCTTGGAAGGTGCCATGGAACTCGCTAACGTTGTTTGCGAACACATCAAGGATTTACTGATGGAATTAAAGGTTTTGAATCGTGAACTGAGACGAAATTCTATCGAAGAACAACCTTCGACGAGTTCTGGAGGTTCTCGTGGAATTCTTTTAGATAGGTATATAAAGTATATTTAACAAAATAATGATAATAAATGAAAGAAATAAAAAGAAAATGAAAAAAGGTATAAATTATATAAAAAATCTGAAAAATTACTTATCGAAGTATGTTTTAACTGTGATCATTTTTCGTAGGTTTACAAACGAGAGTGTAGTCGTTACTGCGCCAAGTAAAGTCAAAGCTGGAAGCGATCTTCAGTTACCATCCATGGCTGCCCTTGTTAGCAAAACTTCTAGTCAGGCATTCTTCTTAAGAATACTTAAGGTGATTGTACAAATAAGAGAAGCTGTACGTTTAGCAAACAATAAGAAAACATGTACGTATGTTAAACATAATTTCCATACTAAACATTAATGTCCTGAAGTGATAAAATAAGAAATTCTAATTATTTATTATTTTTTATACAGCCAATCAAAGTTCAGAAAGTTCTGTAGATACTGGAAATACTAACCAAGCTTCAGAATCAGGTAATTTGTGGTTCCATATTTGTACAAATATATAATTCGTATATTCATTTCATTTTTTTTGTTTTTGTTTTTTTACAGGCGAAGAAAAGCTTCCATTATTAAGCGAAAGCTTAGTACTGGATCATTTGTGGGAGACACTCAGTGCTTGTTTATTGGAATTAGAATATACTCCAGATCAGCATGCAGTCTTAGTGTTGCAGGTAAATCATCTGAAATTCTCTCACCTTCGTTTTGTTTACTTTCAAGTGGTCAATTTTATTACACATATTGCACGTTATATTTTATAGCCTGCAGTAGAAGCATTTTTCCTGGTACATTCATCATCGAGTACCTCTCGCGATCGTCATTTGAACACAAATACAGAAACTCGCGAGGTTGTTCCTGACCTAACGCCCGTTTCGCCCATATACTCTGATAATGAAGGTACGTCTCAATCGGAAGCTACTATTAACACTTCTTGGGACATGCAACCACCGCCACAGAAAACGCTACCACCGGACCAACTCAAGTTCCTTAAATTTGCTGGTAATTTACATCACAATATTAGTTCTTTTTAGTATTATTAAATAACCTGGAAATTTATATTCTATGTTCCTTTTTTTTCTCTTTTTTACAACAGAAACACACAGAACTGTTCTAAACCAGATTCTTCGCCAAACTACTACACATTTAGCGGATGGTCCATTCTCGGTATTAGTGGATCATACGAGAGTCCTTGATTTCGATGTGAAAAGACGGTACTTCCGAACAGAACTGGAACGAATGGATGCAGGTATTCGTAGGGAAGAATTAGCTGTACATGTTCGCAGAAATAATGTCTTCGAGGACTCCTTCCGAGAGCTTCACAGGCGAAACGCTGATGAGTGGAAAAACCGCTTTTATATTGTCTTTGAAGGTAAATAATTTATAACAAGCTTTACTCAGTTTATAAGATTGTAATTGTGTAGGAGTTTCTTTTCATTCTATCGTAAAATAATTCTATTTTAGGCGAAGAGGGTCAAGACGCTGGAGGATTGCTTCGAGAGTGGTATGTCATTATTTCCAGGGAAATTTTCAATCCCATGTACGCTTTGTTCACTGTGAGTCCTGGCGATCGGGTTACATACATGATAAATTCCTCATCACATTGCAATCCTAATCACTTGTGTTATTATAAATTCGTCGGTCGAGTTATAGGTGAGTTTACTTTTTTTTTTTTCATGCTAGGTAATGTACAACAAGAATTAAGATTATTAATACTATTGATTATAATTACAGCTAAGGCAATTTACGATAACAAATTGTTGGAATGTTACTTTACACGTAGTTTCTATAAACACATTTTGGGAATACTAGTGAAACACACAGACATGGAAAGTGAGGATTACAGTTTCTACAAAGGACTCGTATACCTCACAGAACATAACATTGCTGATCTTGGATACGAATTAACCTTTTCCACCGAGGTAATTTCGAGTTCCCATTTATATATTTACATTCTTTTAATTAAATTTTCTTTCGTTACGTGTTACGTGTAATTTTAATCATTGTAACCAGGTAAATGAATTCGGTGTGAATGATGTACGCGATTTAATACCAAACGGACGTAACATCGTTGTTACTGAAGAAACGAAATTAGAGTACATTCGGCTCGTGTGTCAAATGAAAATGACTGGAGCAATTCGTAAACAGTAAGTGAAATAAAGATCAAAGCTAGTTCCTTTCTTTTGTGCACTTAAACAATTTATACTATTCTTTGTTTATTTTTACAGGTTGAACGCGTTCTTAGAAGGTTTTTACGACGTTATTCCGAAGCGACTGATCTCTATATTCAATGAACAAGAACTTGAGTTGTTAATTAGTGGTTTACCCAATGTAGATATTGAGGATCTTAAAGCTAACACTGAATATCACAAATATAATGCAAATTCTTTACAAGTATGTATATTATTATTTGCTAAGTGTCTTAAAAGTGTTATTAACCTAATCTAACTTGATATTATTGACATACCTTCTTAGATTCAATGGTTTTGGCGAGCACTAAGGGGTTTCGATCAGGCAGATAGAGCTAAATTCTTGCAGTTCGTCACCGGAACTTCGAAAGTGCCGTTACAAGGTTTTGCTGCTTTAGAGGGAATGAATGGTATACAAAAGTTTCAAATTCATCGTGAGGATAGATCGACAGATAGGCTTCCATCAGCGCATACATGGTAAATTTGATGCATTCTTCTATGTTCTGTGCTCTAAGTATTCAGTTGTAGGATAAAACTTAATCCCTGAAATTTTTATCTTTCTCCTTTCTCTTTTTTTAGTTTCAATCAACTGGATCTACCCGTTTACGAAACGTACGATAAGCTTCGTACGAATTTATTGAAAGCGATTCATGAATGCAGCGAAGGATTCGGTTTCGCCTAAATTTCTGCAAAGTTGAGCAAATCTTGTATGATTTTGCATGAAAACTCATCGAGCGAAGAGACAAGAACAAGGGATAATAAAACAGCTGAACGAAGAACAAACAGAGGAAATTATAGCATTGATAAACCGATTGTAAAAGTATCGATTAATCTTCGCTCAAGATCTAGTATATAAATTTTTACTCCGCTATATACATATTAAAAACTAAAGGCGTATGTATATACGTAAAATTAACGATGTAATTAACGATGATTCGTCGCTAGAGTTTATTTTGTTGAACGATCTTTAAAAAAAAAATGATTAAAAAAAGATGGAGAGACGCAGAGCTTAACGATAATTCCCGATGGAAGGAAGACTTAAAAAAAAATCGGACACTTTAGTTAAGGATCTTAACGGTTAAGAGATAACAGATAAGGATTCAATGTAATTCATCGTTAAAAAAAAAAAAAGAGAGAATGCAGCGGGCTAAAAATAAATGTAATATAAATGCGACTCGAAGCCGCTCTCCTCTTGGACAGATTCAAATAGGAGGAAGAAAAAGGATAAAAAGAAACGAATTGTTCCCGTGACGAGAGAAGGCGAAAAGCGATGGAGAAGTGTGCCTGTATTCCGTGTACGTGTTTATTTCCTTATATTATGCGTGGAAAAAAGCTGCCAGAAACATAGAATACATGGATCTGTACGTAAGAAAAAAGAAAAAAAAGAAGAAATGTGGTGTTGTATGTAAGCGCGAATGCGTATGTATGTATATGAGCGAATGAGAAAAACAGAGTAATCCAGAAACCGATTAGATACGAGCCTAAATACGAGAAAAAAAAAACATTTCACGATGTTATATCCTTAACGCCCGCAAGAAAAAAAAATAACGTATGGTTGTACACTATTAGTATTAATAATTATATTATCTAATTCTTAATCGATAGTAATAATCATTAATTAATATCGTTTTAATATTAATCATTTGAGAAATGTGATGTTAAAAAGGAAGTCATGTAACGTTTTTTTCCTTTTCTTTTCTTTCTCCTATGGATAGCGTAAAATCACGTCCAATACGCGCCCAAGCTCTCCAATCTTAATACATCCTTGAAACTTCCTTTAATCAATGTTAATAGATTTCTTCTCGCTTCTGCTCTGGGGAAACGTACGTAACGAGACTCTCGCAATCGAACGGGTGTTGATTTTTGTAAACACATCGAATGGGACAATATACATTGGGAAAGTATAAGATTCACTGGACTCTTTTTCGCGATGTTGTTAGGGAGTTACTGCTTAGGAATTCGCAAAATAAACTAAATGTTGTATTTCTTATAAAACGATTGCGTCGTTTGTTTTTTTTTCGTTTTTTTTTTCTTAGTTTTTACACAAAAACACCTTGATAGTGTAGTATTTTAGTGAACGTTAAATTACATAATACGCGTATATAAGTATGAAAGTTACCGTGAGAATGTACGGAGTCACGTTGATCGAAAATTACGAAGTAATCGAAAAATTGATCTCGTTTGAAAGAGATGTACCATCCTTTAAAGTATTTCTTATTCTATCGTTTTGGTTTTTGCTGTAATTTACAAAATGATATACAAACAGAAGCATAAATTTCACTCTTTTTTTTTTTTATAATTATAATGAACACCAACAATTGATTGGAAAATATAGAAGTTGAAAATTTTTATTTTAAGGAACTTCGTTTTCTTAATAAAAGTATTCTTTGCTTATTAATAGTATTACACACCGGTATTCATTCAAGAAGCCAAATTGGATTTGTATTTGTTTGCAAAAGCACTAGGTAAAAAAATAATTTACTTTTGCGTGTCAGTTTTGAGATATAAAAGAATTTTTACCGGAATTATTTTTTTACATTTCTACACTCATGGAAAGAGAACAAGACTCTTCTTGCATGTATATACATCTTTGTACAATGAGCTTGTGTGAAAAAGTCAAAATGTATACACGATGAAAATATAAACTACAACTGTATTGTATATCAAAACTATTTACAATTTATTATAATGAAATAATACTGAAAAGCATCTCGTATAACTAAATGATAGGAAAGTTATAATTTATTAATGTAAACGGTATATTCTGCAATTGTAATTATAAAACCCATTATCTTAAAACACATAACAGAATTCAAAAATTTCTTAGCCTGTTTAGATGGTGTTCCTCTGTTCTTAAGGTGAAGCTTTAGCTTTTAGTTCCTCAAAGCAAGGTCTAAGGAATATAGAGTTCTTTTTGGCTCGATTATAATATTCGTGGCCCTGAAATATGGTTTTTTGTATATGACGTCATAAAATATTATTTTGATTACGTAAGACATATATACGAAAAAATTAATACCTTCGACCAATCGTAAGATACCGCATATGCAAATATTTGTCCGTTATGATTAAAACAACATCGAGTAATGGGCTGCTCCATAGGATCTGAAGACTTTAGCTTAGTTCTTGCATCCTTATCCCAAAATCCGAATGTACCATCACCTCCAACAGTCGCAACAGTACCATGAACTGGATGAAATGCAATGTCATTTACCTAAGCATACAGGAATTTAAATAGTAAAAGTGAATTGTAAAAAATTCATGGACAAATTTGACTGAATTTATACTAACTGCATAAATATCTTGGTATCCATTAGGAGTTCCATTTGTTCTATGACATTTGAATGTGAAGTTTTCTTTTGAGCTTAAATTCAAATGGTGTATAGCTACACGACCTTCTGTGCTACCAATTGCAAAACCAGTAGGAACTTTCTTTTTATCTCTAAAAATTGCAACACACCTGTACTGGTATTTTAGACTTAATTCTACTGTTTTATACTCTCGAGGACTGCCTTCTAATTGATAAACAATTAATCCACGTCCTGCTGTTCCTACTACTGCCATTGGATAATCCTATAGCAATTAATAGATTAGTTAAAATTGTTAAATAATTACAATTACAACTGTGATAGAAGATAAGGATTATGTATATACTTACAACATCTGCACAGTAACACCTTTCGATTAAATTTATAGTCATTGCTGGCTTAGGACTTCTTAAATCCCAAAACTGCAAAGAATTTCATTATTAACATATGTATCACACAATGAAATATTACAAATAGTGTAACCACAATCATACTCTCAGTGTTTTATCCCAAGAACCTGTCATAAGGCATGAATATGTGCTAGCTTTAATCCAATGACAAGTTTTAATTGGTGCATCATGTGCTGCTACTTGAATACTCTGATTTGAAGCTAAGTCCCAACATTTTGCCGTTTTATCGCAACCTGCCATAAATACTTTTGTTCCATCCTGTTCCAAAGAAAGTTATACATTTTTCAATTAGTTCCGATGGTGTCATCTTAAAAAATTGAATTACAATACGCAACTTCACGAACTTACATCGCACCAACAAACATCGAGAACTGGAGCTGCCATAGACTGCATTGATTTAGGAACTGTTTTGCCAGACTGTTCGACTTCCCAACAACGAACATTGTTGTCCCATGAACCAGCAACGAGAAAATTTTGTGGAATTGAAGCTGGACTAAATGCAAGACTGGAGATAGAATCATCAGGAGGAGAGATAACCTCGAAATCTTGCATCGGATTAGACGAAGACGACGTGCCAGTTCTTAGCCCTCCACTTTGATTAAACATTTTTTATCAATTTTGTCCTGCTGAGTTTTATTTAACACAAAATAACGTTGTTAATTGAAATGTATTCAACAGATGTATATTATGCACGACGAACATTCCAGTATTCACGTGTTTATATCATTCGCGTGTCAAACGCCGGGAAATAATACTGCGATTTAAAAAGTATATAGAACGGACACCTGACGTAAATTTTCGAATCATGAAATTATAGGAAGACGCAATAGAGATCCGTTATAATTTAGATCCGTTTTCATGTACTATCAATCCAATGAAAACACTCTCTTAAAAAGTGGAATTTTTTAACCATTCACTGCCAAATATATTTTAGTTCACTTTTTGTCAATTACGTACAATTATCTCCTGCATATAATCTTAAAATAAATATTTTGTATACAAATGAGATTTTTTTTATTAAGTATAATTTTTATTAAACATATTACATCCTTATTATATTAGTAAAGTAATATTAACCTTTTCACCGCGACACACTTGAAACAAAAAGCGCTTGTTGTGCACCGAATAAAACAGTTATTATTCAACTCTGATATACAAAACATCTGGTCACTTAAAGCTGTGGTATAGTGAATGCATATTCAAACGAACTGGCATTCTGACGAACTCAATACGTCAAAACAGTCAAATGTGCATTGCAGTGTTCAGATATTTCCTTCGCCAGAACGTCAATTCATCGGAATACGCATCCACCACACCACAAGCCTAAAGCGTCCACACCATTTCTCTTTTTCTTATGAACTGTAAAGTTATTATAATTAGAAATATTTTAGAAGATAACATAATTTCTAATTCTAAGATAATTTGTCATCACGTTCAAGATATGCCAAGCACGCGAAGCACACAAATGCAACTGGTATTACCACATACCTTTGCTACTTTCGCATCAGAAATTTTCTTGGGTTCGAAAGTGTAACACACCTGTTCGTATCTTATTATTCCTTGTTTATACAATATACCACATTCTTTTCGTGGTAACTCTTATCTTCGTAGTTAACGGTAGGCCCTTTTCATTCTAATTCAATATCAACTTTGTCGTTAGCCGTAAAATTACTGACTAATGGTACTTAATAAACATGTGGTACGACTGACGCGCGCATCCCGTACGACTGACAAAAGACACAATGTTCTACATGCAACGACATTAAAGAAGCGTCCGCTTGGAATTAGTTTAACGTCCACTTTCCATTTTCATTTTACTTTCTTCGTGCTACACTAATACCTTGTGTTACGTGTGTACGACTTTTACCGTTCCACGAGCATTTAATGGTCTCTTGGAAAGGGACAATTTGTACTTTAAAGTAGAAACGCATGTTTCGCAGAGAATTAAAAAAACTACGCAGTACGAGAACTTAAATACTGCAATTATAACTTAATTTTGAAGTATTGTTACAAAGGAAACCAATGTAACGTCCCAAAGAACGTAACCTGTAACTATCACTTTTTTTCAAACGTTTTTCAAATTATTCTCACTGGTTGAAATATAAATTTCGTAGGGATAAAACAAGGAGCAAATAAATTATCCTAAAAATATGATATAATGCATTAATGCATTAAGCAATCCGAGAACGAAAATAGTTGACGAGTATCCTAGGTCATTGTTATTACCGTATTGGAATTCAGCAGGTCGATGCACACGGACGATTTATGTTTCAAATGAATATGTTCGTACGTGTGTGTGCGGAAAGTAGAAAGCATTGCAAAAGATAATGACAAGGATGCAGCGATGTCATTCCGGTTTTCGTGTCAGAACGCAGCGTGCGATCGTTCCTTTGCAACGCTCGCGATCTACATACGCTGTCTCATAACTTTCGTGTCACGATCTTAAATTTCCTTTTACCATAATTTTTTTTTTTAAGGTTTGAAGCATTTCAAAATCTTCAAAATGATACACTAATACATTTCGTTAGATTAAAATGTTGTTTAAAATTTTACATATGAATTGAAAGAATATTAAAAAGTATATATTCGAATCCTGCAGTGTAACACGAAATTGTATAAAAGTTTTTCGAAGCAAATTTTGTTTTGAAAAAGGACCACTTCGTAGTTCTATATTTTAAAGTACAATTTATTTAAAAAAACAAATTTCTCTTTGTCAATGCCAATGCGTCATCAAATTCCTGACGGAGTTACTGACAATATTGGTGAAACGTTGAAATACTTTTCCAAAACATCCGGGAAACATCTATTACAAAGGGTGTCCGATAAAAAGCGCGCGAACATCGTTCAATTCATTAAATACCCACGTGTTATATACAAAATTGTAATCCAAGAAAATAAACATTGTCTTCTACTTATTCTAATGACCTTAAAGAGTCATTGCCACTATATTACTCAAAATTACACTTCAATTGTTGTTTTATTGTTCACCACTTCACAACATTCGCTAATCGATGTAAATTATTCACGCACGAGAGAAAGTTCGTTTGTTGTAGCACGTTTGCATAATAATCGAGGTAGTGAGAGGATCATTTCCCCATTAGGGTGGGATCAAACTAATCTACGCTATTTTCTTTTTTCAACGTGACTTGTTTCTTACCTATCGACAACTTTAATACCAATACAACATAACCCCTTTCTAATCAATTAAACGATTCACATGTTTCGTCAATTCTGTCCATGAAATCCAATCTAACCTCATTTTACCTTATGCAAAGTCGATATGATAGTTCACCATTGTATTTCAATAATATTATCAAGTTAGAATTCAATCACGCCTAAAATTATCGATCAGGATTTTTTAAAGGAAGCCTCGAGAAACTTTCTTTCGTACGAAAGGCAATTGGTATTCAAGAAACTCGTGCGTTTTATACGG